TTCACTCATATTGCTCCAGTTAAATACATGGTTGTATACAAGTAAGATGCTTTGAAAAAGGCATCCAGCCAGTTAACTAATAATGCCTTTATGTGATCTGACTGAACTTTACTATGCTTTTATCATGGTAGCATATTTTATATAAGACATTACCCAGGCTCTTGTCTACAGAATGATAAACAGGGAGTCACAGACCAGGGAACACAAGTGGAAACCTGATAGAAGTGCATTAAAACTGAGAACAGGAGGCACTTTACACAAAGGGTTGAAGGGGAGTGGAATAAGCTACCCAGCCATGTTCGTTGAAGCAGATATCCATTCTTCCTTTAAGAAATGGATGCGATCTGATCAATTAATTATGCTTGCTGTCAAACAGGCTAGATGGGTTGAGTGGCCAACTTTGTAACATTCGTGTTCTTCAGCAACTGCTCAATTCCTGCTGACCGGTGTTGTGTAATAACACGGTAATTACCTTATCATTACATCGTTTCTGTATGCAGCGTTTCAGCCTTCAAGTGTGCAGAATTTCACAGACAGATGTGCGTTTATAAATGAAGCCCTCTGTGCCGATGTAGCCAGTGTGAGTCTTCTTTGAAAAAGTCTCTTTCTGTGCTTCTTTTCAATAAAGCGCTGCATTTTAATAGCAGGTTAAATTTTGTACAGCCCCCCGAGGCCTCAGCTCTGGGTGTGATGAATTTCTGCGTGGGAGCACAGTATGTTTTCACATCTCAGAAGAGTAATCTGCGCTCTAGTAAATCTTTCCTCAGCGGTGTTGTCTTAACCCTGCTGTTGGCAGAGCACTCCTGGGGCTGTGAAATGAGAAGGCAAACTGCATGACAGGAGTGAGCACAGTTGCGAGGCGTTATCGTGCTCTGTTCCTGCAGGTGTTTGTTTCTCTTCTGGGTGACAGCAGAATTGCACAAAGAAAACGTTGCTTCTCTTCTGCCCGTGTCTGGCTTGAATCCCTTGCCGTACAAACAATCTTCCGAGAAATACTTCTGGAGCAGGTTAGCCCACAAACGCAGATTGGAAGCCCATTAGAAACATCCATGCGAGCCCCTTGTTCAGACGCAATCGAAAGGCTGCGCCAACCTGCTTTGCAATCATTTTCTTAATTTTCGTCCGGGGCTGGGCCCATCGTGAGGCCAAAATCCGTCTTCATGGTTTTAACGTTGATCAAACCCTTGATCTGATTTTTGCAAAACCTCTGTCGAAGGTGAACAGCGCAGCGCAGCATTCCTACAACGCCCTCCATGTTTCAGGAAAGAAATGTCTGCGAACCGCATTTCAAACTGCAGAGACCCGAACGGGAAACAAGCGTGAATGGAGTTGTCATTTTGTTCTCCTTGTGCTTCTGGAGTCTTGTTTTCTTCACTTTTTTTCACTTCGGAGTGTTCCAGCTTATTTTGGGCCCTTTTGTTCTGAACTCAGAAAGGTCACCTGGCAGTGTGTATTTATTGTTACTGTTACCTTGAGGACACAAAACCCCTCTTTCTCCACTCCGAAGGCTGCTTCATCCATCATGCCAAGGCCTGTGGCGTGCTCACTGGGAATGCTCCAGAGACGGGAAGCACAGCGAGTCCTGTACCAACATGCTGATAAGGGAATTCCGTAAATTATTCCGACTACGCTTGGGGTTGTGACATGGGATTTCCTCGGGCGGGCAGAGAGAGGCTTCTGCAGTCCATTTGCAAGGGACCTACTGCTCAGTATCACCTATAATTACTCATCGCGTTACTGTATCAAGAGCAAATGCCAAACAGTCCTATTTCAGGCCGCAAGTCTTGATCTGCAGAGCAGTGCTCTCATGAAGCAGTGTTGACGTACTGGCGCTGAACCAATCTTCTCCTCTTCCTTGTTTCAAAAGGGAGAATCAAGCAGTTCCTAAAATAGTACATCCCAATTTAAATAAACTTTTCTAATACTGAGTGGAACCACCAGTTCTCCAACCTGCTTTAAGCAATGATATCCATATACACGTCGGGTTTTTTTTCTAAGTGACCTGTGGTTAAATTGAATGTGTATGTTGGTGATCTAAACTACATACTACATTTCTCAGTCCTGGAATAAAAAAAAAAAATTTGAGGGAATAAGACGTTATAGCTCTCAGTGTGGTATAATGAATATTTTCCCCTTTTTTGAAAACCATATTATATCATTAGATTAACCCACAATTAGGCTATTGGGAGTTATGAATGGGACTGCATGCACTATTATCGAAGTCAGGTTTCACAACTGCCACAAGGGCTCCTGCAAACTCCATCGTTCTGCTGGTCTTTCGATCTGCAGCCCCTAATGGAAAGCAGATCTGTGCCTCCTCTAGCTCGACAGCAAGCCCAGTTTGGGGAATTCGCTCTCGGAATGCACGCACATCTGCTCAGGGGAGGCTGGGATCTCTGAGATCTGCAGAGGTGGAGGAAAAAAGTGGGCTGCTGTCGGCTTTCCCCTGCTCCAGAAGATCTTGTCTGGAACGCAGCAGGGCAAGCAGGAGGGGGCCAAGTTCCTCTCTGTGATGTCAGAGGCGGTGCCCCTGTGTTATGGAAGTACTGGGTGGTGGTGGTGGTGGTGGTGGGGGTGAACCTGCGTCCCAGGAGGGATGTGAAGGGGGGCAGCCACTGCACCTGATATCCGCACCTGCTCCGAGCCTCTGAGCATAAATTTAGGATTGACCCCACTCCGGAAGTTTCCGTGGAGTTTATTTTTCCTCACTGTGCAGCGCAAGCAGTTCTTCAAATCCAAAATACGACCTAGGCACAAACAGCATGTTATGAGCAATTTGTGGATAACAAGTTAGCCTGTGACTAATATACATTATATAAAACATATGTTCAACATGTGAGCCCTGGGTAACCAATTTTCATGGCTGGTTTCTTTTACAGGCAAAGGACCAGCATGTGCCAATTATGTGTAGCCTCTCTATATTGTGATATAGAACGTAAGTTATAAATCCACAAACCAGCACTTTCAAAATGGAATTGTACGAAACGCGTTTCACAAATTGGTATGTCAGAGCACGTGGCTCTTTCTTCTTGCAACCCCATCACTAGGTATTTCAAGTGTACAACTTAATCTGCTTCAAAAGGTTGAGGAAAACAAGGGCCTGAGTGTCATTTGTCAGAAGTGCTAAATCTATAAAGAGCTGTGATCGCAGCAGACAGGCCAATAAGACATCCTCTTGTCATGACTAATCTCTGGCTGTGAAAACAATAGTTTTGTAACAGCTCAACAGGAAGCTAGTATGAAGTGCCAATGCTGGCATGCTAGTTCATTCTTGGAATACAGCTGTTCCAGCTCTCTGAGGGCTAGAGCATAGCAGACCGGGATGGGTGGAAAACTGTAATGCATAAGCAATGCTATTGTGTCCCGCAGTGAGAGGCACAATGATAATGAAGTGTGTTGCAAATAACATTTGTCTGGACAACAATTCACGTGAACTTCATCGTAGAGTTTCTTTGGCTGTGGTGATGACTAACCTTTCTGGGAAGCCCACTTCAGCATTTGAAGGACATCGCTGCTCACCTCACTGGTAAATTGAGCAAGAGCCCTTCCTGTCCATTTCTTGTCTAGCTGTGGTCACCCTCCGATTGAGTTGGCAACGAGCAGATGTTATGTTTTGAATCCTGTTCCGTTTTCCCTTTCCCGCTGTATACGGTAGCTAGGGCTCTAACAAAATGTGCCGTTTAATAGCAGAATGCTGAACGCAAAGCCGAGACTGCAGAAAGCAGATGTCAGCCTGTCTCTGTCTGAAGCTCTGCCTCGTGGTTTGAATTACAGTGCCTGCAATCCAGGTGGAAACGCCTCTCATCCTCCTCACCTGTGATGCGCCTGAAGACAGAGGAAACACCACAAAAATCAGAAATGTAACAGTTCAGATATCAAGACTGTACTATTAGAGGAGGCATCACTTTTTCTGCTTAAAAAAGACCATCTGCTACAAGGAATAAACAACCATTCGGACAGCTTTCAGCATTCTCTAGTCCCGACAAGGGTGGCAGCTTCTTTCATGAACATATTGTGAACTGATAGCACAAATTCTACTCGTTTTGCATCTCTCTCATGCACATTGTAAGCTGCACTTAACATGAGCGTGCTGTGCTCCTGGCTACATGGAGTTTCTGATCTTAGCAGAAGGCTGATAGTGGGTGCATATGAGCTGGGGTGATGGCTGGGAGCTGACTCGACTGTGCACTCCGTCCTGCTGCTCAGGGGTTCAGGGAGACTGGCAAGAGGTCGACCACTCTTCGGTCATGAGCCCCACCACCTCCACTCACGGGGTTAATCTCGTCACGGCAGGATCTTAGCAGTGTAGAGAGGTCAGAGGGCACTCTCCCATCATTAATTCTCTCGGATTAAAGCCTGGTTACAAACAGCGAGGTGGAATTTGTGCGGGGTATCACACATCTTAAGGAGGAAAACAAAATTTCTCACACTTAAAAAAAAAGCAAGAAAGGAAGAAGAGCAATGTTTTTGGGGCGTATTTAACACATTCTTTGAAAAGTATACATTTTGTTTTATATATGCTCACAAAGGTCAAGTGAGTTCTTGGCAGCTTAGATCACACAGCTGCTGATACACTTGACCAGGCAGAGTAAGGGCGTTCTTCAGCAGGAAGACAGCTGCCTGCCATAATCACAACACATGGACTTCATAAAACAGATGACTTGGTCATTTCTATCGCTTTGTGTCCTACCTAGGCAGGACCTGAAATTTATTAAGCCGGATGTGAACTTAATGGACCTAATCAAAACAACATAAGAAGATAAAATCTTAGCAGGAAATCATTGATGATATAAAAATGCAAAAATAAATTAAGAATAATTTAATTTTTTTAATTACAGCTGGAGATAAATAGATAGAATGCATCAGATACTTGATAAAAAATACAGCATGTATAGTCTATCCCTCTGTTAGATTTAAATGAAATCGCAGTATGTGGAAGTGTGTTGTAGTAGAACTTGAAAGCTCCATGCATTGACAGGGTGTGTGTCTGTGTTTTTCAGGGCTGGTGGACTTTCCCAGACTGCCCGCAACCCAGTTGTTCCCAGCAGGAGAGGAGCACATTCGCGAAGCTGGGGACTCCCTAACACTGACCTGCAGGTACAGCAGAACCCCACCCCCAACCTCTGCACAGTGCTCACACAAAATCATTCTCTCTGCAATGCACAGAAAACAAGACAGTGGTGCCTCTTCCCTCACAGGCAGTTTATCTACCAAAGTAGACACAATTCTGTTCCCTGTTCTTCAAGAGGGAGATCTCCATGATTCCAGTGTACTGTTATACACTACATAGACATACAGCACATAGTTTTTTATTTTGCTGTATCTAAGCAAAATTGACTTAATCTCTTCAATGATTTCTTCCTGCTTCACACATCCAATCAGTTGATCAGTTCCCAAACGGGAGGCAACAGATTGCAATTTGCGACCAGCTCCTTCTGGTCTTTACAATACCTCAGAATCATGCACTTTTTTTTTTTTTCCCCGTTCAGATCCTTGAAAACATTCAGGATGATAAATTAAAACAAGTGCAGTATATATGAAAAAACAGCAGGAGATCTAAGGCCTCTTCCTGCATGACCTCATGTAGAATTCAAGCTGTTCGGTTTGGAGTTCACTCATAAAAGCAGCAGGTTCACCATTTTCATTTAGACCAGCATGAAGCCTGGCCTTGTTGAAAGCCAGGTGCTCTTGCTTTCTGGTCTCAATCACAGATACCATAAAGGCTGTGATTTTTATTAACTTTTTTTTTAGTAACTTTTCCTTATTAAAGTTCAGGGATAATTAGTGCAAGTAAGCAGCCTGCTAAATACGAGGGTGGCTGAAATTCTTTGCTGAGGAAAGAGAGCAGCTCTGATGTGTGCAGCTAAGTGCAGCTGCGAGTTGTCTTTACTAGGAGGGCAGGCCCTCCTTCCTTATCTGCCACGGGGGCAGTGTGGTGTAGTGAGTGACTTTGGACTCGTGATTGGCAGGTTGTGGGTTCGAGGCCCTCCCGCAGACACTGCTGTTGTGCCTGTAGCAAGGTAGCAAGGTGCTTCACCCCTGTTTCCAGCAGAGCCCCCCAGCTGTACGAGTGCAGACCACCATTGCTTGGGGGTAATTCAATGTCCCATCTGGGGCGCACTGCTCTCTAGTCCACTGATGCTATAGACAGAAGCCATGATGAGCCGCTGTGGCTGTGGCACAGACCTTACCTTTCTTCCTCTATTAGAAGAGATGCACAGCAGTCAGGGACTGAGAAGCAGAAGGGCTTCATTAGCTGTTATCCACACAGGCAGTGAAATAACAAAGTTGTCCACACTGGTGAAGTAAAAGCTTCATCATCCCAGCCTGTCTGCTGGGAAGTGCACAAAAGAGCACAGCGCTGACATGATGAAGACTCGTGTTCTAAATCCGAGGCAATCTTGAGAGATGGGATTGCATCACTTTTCAGTCATGTGAGGAATGCTAACTGTTGCAAGAAAGCCAGCGTAGTGTTTCCCTACAAGGCAATGTGTTATAAAGCCTTACTGATATTGGGCATGTTTTTGGACATTTTAACTTCGACCTTGTCATATTTGAACCACAGGCAAGGGGTATGCAGGACATTTTTCTAGTCCTTGGGGATCAGATAATGTAGCTTTTGGGACCGGCTGTGTTTGAAATGTGCTGTTTGAGCCCATCGTCTCAACCTACAGTAATATTCCCACGTGAAAGTCATGCTGCTTCACGACATTTTTCAAGTGGGTCACATTCAAATCATTCTTACAAAGCAGTACCCACGGTCACCTGCGTAATGATCATTGCAAAAACAGAGAAGTCTGTATTTCGATATTTTTTTAAAAACTTCGGGGCGTGTGACAAAGGTGAATGTCTATCAACATAATTTTTTTTCCGCTATTCCAATTTTTTATTGAGATTAGGTCTTCTTTCCACGTGCTGTAGGATGGTTGTGGTTTTCCAGTCCGAAGCGGCGCTGGTTACTACCTTTCTGTTTGCAACCTCTGTCTGACAGGGGCCAGGCTCGGCTCTCCTGGACGCTCCCCGCCCTGAGGGATGTGGGCACTGGGAGGGCTGAGGTCAAGGAAGAGCCGTGCGAGAGTGCGGGACACACCCACTGCAGCCAACTGACACTGCACAGCCTGAAGCACAACGACACTGGACTGTACTCCTGTCACTACTCAGGCACAGCCCTGGGAGGAGTCAGCAGCACATACCTCTTTGTGAAAGGTACGATCTCTCACGGGCACATGAATATCCCCAGTTCACTCACTGGTAACGCAAAATCTCGCTGCATTAGTGTCATGTTAGCCCCAATTCAAGCACAACATTGATAACGCAGTCTTAAATGATGGATCTTTTCCCAGTTAATATATTGCCCCATTCCTTGTAAATGTCAGAAGAGTAAATTAGAATGCCATATTGTTGCAAACGATCGTAAGATTGTGAGCTTCCCACAGAGGAAAAATATTCTTAACATAAAATGTGTAAATACAACATAATAGTTTCGATTGCGTCCTTTTCCATGTGATGGAGATAAGTGGAATTTTTTTTGCCTTGATTTTCTCTTCTGCACTTCCCTGTGCCTTTCATATGGTCTGAGCAATGCTGCAGGAACGTAGTCCCAATGTTTAAACTGGAAGCTTAAGCATTCTGCCTACAGGGACTCATCGAGGACAGTACATCCAGCTCAAAAAACATGACAGAAAAGATTCCAATAACAGTGATGAGTGAGCTATGTTATAGTGCTGTGTCAAAGGTTAGGAACATAAAATAAAGCTTTTTGCACTGATGGAATTTTGCAGTCAAATATCTGGACACCCGGGACCTTAATCATACAAAGAGACTGAATAACTCACAGCATGTGACAAATATTTCTTTTAAATTTTGTTTTATGAACCAGAGCAGGGCTGTGGCCAATGACTTTGCTGAGGCGGCTGAGGAATGCACTTAAACTTGTGTGCTTTATTTTGTTTCCATGATCTTAATTAAAATCAAACTCTCGTCAGTGCAGGCCTCTGTGATTTTAATGGACCACAACTGTAGCCCGCGCTGCTGCCAAAGCCAGATTGCTCCTGCTCTTTTAATGCTGGGACTGAACTTCGGTCACTGAGCAATCTCACGTCTTCCTGCGTGATAGAAGACCTGGAAGTGTTCCAGCCTTTCAAAAAAAACGGAAAAAAGCACCATTCCCCACCTCATTTAACCCACAACAAAGCAATAAATCTGAGCGAAAAAGGCCAGAGCCCTGATTGTCCTTAATTGCTGTTGTATGGCAGCACACGCTGAGGCCTAATTTACTGGGCTTGAGTGGAGCCTGACAGGCTCTCAGAAGGAATCCTGTCCTTAGCAGAGAGGAAGACATTCATTTTTTCACAGCCTTCTTCTCGACTTCGGAACGGGAGTGTGATTATATCGGAAGCCCTGGTCATTGACTATTATTTCCTGCAATTCCTCTGTTTTTCCAGTTTCCCCAGGGGCCTGACACATCAGAGCCCTCAGTCCCCCCGATTGCTGGCACCGCTCTCTCGCACACCAGCGTGGCGTGACCCACAGGCTGCCTTGCAGTGTGTCACGAGCCAAAAAAAGAACAAGGACAGGCTGTGGAAGCTGCAAAGTGTCTGAATCGGGAGGAATGTAACGTTTATCAAAGAAGAATGCATAGGATAGGTCAGGTCAAGCTTTAAAAATTGAAAGCATATTGAAAGCAAATATGAAAGCATATTGCAAATCGTAATAAAAGGTTTTGCAATCTCTAGCTATTTTTACCTCTCTGAAAACACGACAGAAGTTTGTTAATAAAGGTTTTTCCAATATCTACTTACCTTTACCCCGGTGAAAATGAAAGGGGTTTAATTTGCAGAGTTATGGTAACTCTGAAATACAATTGTGCGTCTGTTCCTGCAGGGGTCACAGGCCTTGCTGTGGCTCGATCAGCTGTGCTCATGTTACGTAAAACAAACACACGAGGGAAAGAGAGACTCTGGGAGCTGAAACTGTCTTGTCAGCCTGAACCAGAACCAGCACCACTCGCGCACAGGACATCACTGCTGAGTTTCATTAGATTGCGAGACAGAAATGTGCTCGGCTTAACATTGCAGGGTGCACAGAAAAAAAAAATTCAAGGTTTTCGTCACATTGGCATAAACAGTTTGTCACATTTCAACATTTAGTTGCCACCGTTTATGGCTAAAGATTGGATTGAATGTTGTGTTCCACTTAAACAGAGCGGCTGCAGTCGACAGCTTGTCTTGTGCATTAACTCAAGTCAAACAGTGCACATCTGCACTGGCACTGCAGCACCTCTGGCCCTCCCGAGAGAGGGTGTTGTTAGCCTGGACTGGGTCACTTGGGTTCTGTGCCGACAGCCCTGGCCGGAGCTCTGCGCTGCACTGAACCCTCATCTCATGGCCTCCCCTCCCTCCCACTCGCTCACTTTGGTGTAGTTCCCTGTCCCCACCCCACCGTTTGTTACAAGGCTTCAATGGTTATTGTTCAAATTATGCTCCTACCGTTATGGAGCACAGCCTGGGTGTTTTCAGTCCAGGGGCTCTATAAAACAGTTCCTACAGTATTTATTTTCCTAATGCATTCCTTGGTCTTTGAAGTAACCAGCAATAAAAAGCACAGCGATTATGTAGCTATTGTCAATAACGTGACATACAATATCCTCCCCTCCCAAACTGTTTCTTTTCTTAAACGTTCTACAAGTCTGTGAGTTGTTTGGACAGAAAGCTGATTTAAATTCATTTCAAATATCTATTTCTCCTCAAGGGTAAGAAAGCAACCACTGGCACCGCTGAAGTACATGTATTTAGCTTTGAAGTGCAAATGCTCAATATGACATTAAACCAAAGAGTTCTGTGCTTTTGTGCTGAGTTTCATGTACTTGAATAGCAATGAAGGCCATTATTCTTCACTTGACAAGGCTGTCTGACACTGTGCTGGGTTCTGGTCTTGAAATATGTGGCAGTGAACATTTGACTGTCACCGTGCAGCACCATACCAGATACATGAGAATTTCCCCTACATCCTAAAACATTTGTGGAATAAAGAAGAAATCGCATGGTTGTATTACGAACTAACAGTGAGACCTTAATGCAAAATCCCTTTCTGAGCTTGTATGTTTATCTAGCAGTTTCTTTGTTAATTGGGTGTTTATGAACTTGTCGTTTATTCAAGTGTGGGTGTTACTGTGGCTCAATGCTGTCAGCCGTGTCTTTCTCAAGCCTTACACTTAAACTTTCTCGTACATCATAAACATGCCCACAGGAAAAGTTGTAAAACCTTTTTCTCCACAGTCAAAAGTGTGTTCCCTTCCTTTACTCCATATAAAAATTCAGCTGAAAAAAGCTATAAACATAATTTCTCTTTTCCGCACCTATGTTGTCCCTGGGTAAAACTATGCCCTTAAACCTCTCTTTTGCTTTTCAACAAACAGAGAGCAAATTTGTCTAGGGATAAGACGACTTTGTCTAAAACACCCTATTAAGGATTTTTAACAAGCAAAGCCTTAGACTAATGGCACTGAAAACTACGTGCTGTCTCTGCTAATAGCAACCCCTCTGAGTGAGATGATGAAAACATACAGTCTGTAGGCTGGATGTGGCCGGTGTAGCTCTCTGCACGAATGCTGAGTTTGAAGATCACTGCTCTTTTCAGACTGGTGAATGGCAACACTGTGGAGCAAAGGATTCTCAAAGAGTAGAGTGCAGCAGGGTTTTCTTTGAAGAACTGGAGAAAAGGGTTCAGTTGGCTGTGCTCTTCAGGGATATTCTGGTTGTCATTATTTAAAATTGACTGAGAATTCCCAATTAGTCAGATTTTTATATATTACATGCATGTATCTATTTATGAACATGTTTAAAAAAAATCCATTTTTTTACAATGAGATACTGTAAATGATTATTTCAGGGGGAAAAGGAAAGTAAATATGAATGAACCCATGATTGTATTGTATTGTGAAAGAAGAGTATTTCATATTAATGCTATTGGAAATGATCTATTACCTTATACGCAATTGCTTTTATTTATTTCCCAACAGATGGCCAAAACCCATTTGTCGAGTCAACACATGATACTAAACTAGTGATGTTTGAAGACGAGCTGGTCGTCCCATGCAGAGTCACATCGCCAGACTACACAGTCACCCTGGAACGGGTGAGAGACTCCTGAGCTCTCTTTCTCTGCTCTACAGGCAGCGCACACAGAGCTGTGTTAATCTCACAGAGCTGAGAATTACCGATCAATCACTTCAGTCTGATTCATTTCCATCAGTGGAGATGGACAGTCTCTGGAGGAAGGTGTTCTGTACACTAGCTGGGCAAAGGTGGACTAAAGGGGTCCACCTTTGACCTGACTTGCCAAACTGCAGCTGCTGTTGTGCCATTGTCCTTAAGAAGGGCAGTATACCTTTTCCACAATCCAGATGGAAAATTTCACTCCAGGTTTCAGTGTTGCCAGTTTCCTCTCTTCGGCCGTAGTTCAGAGACGCAAGTATCTCTCACTCAAAGCAACTCATGGTACAGTCAGGAGACAGGCTGTCTGCTTCCTGTGGGGACAGGAAGTTGGAAGGAGATTCTGTTCTTCTTAAAATAGAATATGAATCTAAAATTAACTCTTCTGTTTTATACATTATGTCCAGGAAATTATGCAGGAAACAAACAAATACAATATCGATAGTAACATGGAGAAACAAATTAACTGATTAACATAAACTGTTTAAAAAAATAAATGCATTTCATATCACTTTATCTGTAGCTACAGATGTTTGTGCATTTATAATTCTACCTACCTGAGACTAAGTTTACACTACAAGTTTACACTATGTAAATATACATTTTGTTGAACAATTCTGAAGAAATAAGCCACTTCACATTGTTAAGAACAGTCAGTTTCTGAGCAGACTTAGGAAACCGTCTGATTTCAATAACAATAATAATCCTCTGTCTTTCATAAGATCATGATAATCCCCACTCCTTCCTGACACAGTGTTTGACTTCAGAACAAAATCCCCCAAAATAAATCATGTGCATCGAAACTCACTCAGAACAGACTCCTACTCCTACTGCCCCTGCCTGACTGATGCTTACATACAGTAAATTCTTGTATGTTTTAAATTAAAACACTGAAATAACGTCAAACCACATAGAAATACTACAGCTTGGTGAAAATGCATAGTACATTTTTAACTAACCTGACCAAATGTGCCAAGGTGACAGAGAGCGTTTGGGGAAGTGGCTCTAAGATCAATTGTTTTTAACTGTGCAAATTCTGTTACCAGTTCTCCTCTTTAACTTGTTTCTCTTACGGTAAAGCGCATTAAGAAGTTGCTTTTAAAGGTGCTATATAAACTAAAGTGTATTATTATTACTAAAGAAGCTGTGGTCTTATATCATTCAGTTCCTGCCATCGGGAGGGGACGTGTCGAGTGGGGAGTGGGACCCCAAGATTGGCTTCACAATCCGCAACCCTTCCCCTGCACACCATGGCATTCTCCAGTGCACTGCGGTGGTGAACGGGAAAAAGACCCACTCCCTCTACATGCCGCGCAAATTCTGTAAGTACTTCCTGCCAGCAAGCGGGTGCGTCTGCGTCCGAGAGGCGTCAGGGTGGGCTTTCGTAGTGCGAGGTCACTGCAGACTGCATCAGACAGGCGGCCCGCTCCCCAAATTTCCTGAATTGACAGTTGCAGCCGCCCGTTGTGGTTTTAACATGTCGAGAGACCCCTGATTCCCAAACCCGGATTACCAGCTGCTGGGAGGCAGGAGCCTCCCGGACAGCCCCCCTGCCCCTCCCGGCGGTCTCAGCAGAACTGACGCTGCGCTGCTCTTTTCCCAGCATCCAAGCTGACCAACCTCCGGATCAACGTGACGGAACGCCTCCGGCTGCTGGTGGGAGATCCCCTTTACCTGCAGTGCTCGGGTCAGACCACGTACAACGGGCGCATCCACTTCCAGTGGGAGCTCAATGGGAAAGAGGTAAGGAGAGCATTGCAAGGAAATCGGTGCCATTATTTACTGCTTATGTTCATTATGCAATAATCTAAAAGCTTGCATGAAAGGGATAGGGTCAAGAGGAGGCCATCGCTCCCTAAATCTCTCCCTCTGCCTTCATGAGAAGTCCCAAAGAGTCCACACCGGTGTGCGGCCATTTAAATGTCCATAAAACCGCACAACGACATGGGCATATCATTGAGCATTCTTTTAAACCAGATTTACAACTATGAAAACAATAACAGCAGCTAAGCCATCAAACGAAGGAACTGGTATGCAAGATAGTTCTTATATCCCTCAAAGCTGGTTGTAAGCTGAATTCGTGCATCCTTTCCACCACAGTTATCACCAGACCTCAAAAGCCACTTTGCTTTTGCTGGTCAGGATGATGGTGGTCAGCTGCTGTTCGGTTTTGAAACAGTTGAATGACCTCACCTTGAATGACCTTGACATCTTGTCCTCAGATAAGCCAACTGCATGAAATCACCAAAGAGAGTGACAGGACAACAAGCAACTACACAGAAACCTGCACCCTGAAGATCCAGAACGTCACCACAGCGGACAAGGGCATATACAAATGTATTGGAACCAACAAAGTCAGAATGGAGAAGACCATAAAAGTCATCATCTATGGTAATTGTTAGCTCTTTGCAATTTGGAAAATTGTTCCTCCTACATGCAAAGCTGTTGCTTAAGGACATCGCTTAGGTACAATGGTTAAGAACAAAAAAAAATATCTCTGTCAACACAGAGACACTTATTACCAGCTGCCAGAGGACAGGAGAGTGGAATACCAAGTCTGTACTAACCAGTATTACTTGTCTTGTCCAGGATTCAGGTTCTAGCCCAGTATGGGATATACTTACTGAAGGTTCCGAATTATTTGCCACAATTTAATCCACAGTATATACCGGGGCTTTTTCCTGACCTTCTGCTGCTCAGATGCAGGCCGATGCTTAGAAACTCTAAACCTTATAATGTTTTTTTCCCTAGAACATCCCTTCCTCAATGTTTCCTTTGCGGGACCCGACATCATATCCAAAAAAGGCCGAAAGAGGACGAGATTTGGAGTCAAGGTCAATGCCCTGCCCACCCCTGAGTTCGCATGGTAAGACATCCCATGAGTGGTGAGAGGAGCTCTTTCGTGAATCCAGCAAGTCTAGTGGCTGACAACGGCGTTTGTCCTGGTCACTGTCACTGTCACAAAGGAATGCAGCAGGTTTAAAAAGTGCTCAAACTTAGTTCTAGCTCAGAGAAATGTAAATAAAAGAATAATGCTCCTTGCTTGTGATGATTCCCAATGAATAACATCATTCTAATGAAGTTAGTGAATTAGTGCACCAATCGACTGGTTTCTGTAATAACACAGTAATTACAGTATAATTACACAGTTCATTTCGACTCCTGCTGTTCTTACTCTTCTCAGGTACAAAGACGGGGTGCTGATCAACGAGAACCACACCTGTTACGAAGCTTCAGGGTACAGTCTCATCATTAAGGAAGTGAAGGAGAAGGACGCAGGGACCTACACCATCGCTCTGAGCAATAAACACCACGGACTGTACAAGAACGTCACGTTCAACGTTATTGTCTACAGTAAGCACCTTTAAAATGTCTCCTCCATCATAATGTTCTGAGAGACCAATGCATGACTACCTGTTATTTATGAGATGTACAGTATACTGTATGTATTTTTCTTAAAGATACAGTATGTGTCAGCCATGCGAAAGACATTTATCATTAAGATGTTACAAAATATTTTTATCCTTTCAAGAGATAAGGAAGATTGAATTAATTTGATAAACAGCAACTGGCTTTGTCTTTGCCTGGTTTTATATGTGGTTTAATCGAAATGCCAGTTCAATTTCAGTACAGCACAGTACAGCGCAGAATACCCAGTCGTAGGCTGAGGACTGATTTTGGATATGAGCTGATTTAGGGGAGAAGGTTTAAGGTTAAGGTGTCTCTTGCACTGGTAGCATGACTTTGATTCATATGTTGCAATTAGGGTGGGACTAACTCTTGAGTTCGGTGTTGGAGAGGTTTTTGGGTCAGAATTAAGGCGTACCTTAGTGTTGAAATGCCCTCTTATCAAAGTCTGTTGAAAGAAGGCTTCAATATCGGGGGCTTGGACTATGTGAACTGTACTTGCTGATGTTTCACTCCAGTGCCTTCTGTAGCAGGTTATTATCAGGGCTCTTTATTTTTGTGCTGAACTGACGTAGTTGTGCAGCTGGTCTTCATTACTGGGCCCTTTGAAATCCCTCCGTCTGATCACATTGCAGCCAGCGCTGTGGACTGCCCCTCTCTCTGCAGCCCAGCTCTCTCGCTCCCCGCGGTCCAGACCAGTTGACAATACTCTACCCGCCAGCGCTGGGAAAGAGCACTACAGCTGCCAGCATGGTCTCACACAGTGATCCTGCAGATCCACCGACTGGTCCACTTAATGAGAAAATCAAAACGAGTGATAAACAGAGCGATACTGATTCACTGGAAACTCTAAAGTTGTAATGTGTCTCACTGCAGTGTATAACAGGGGTTTGTAACACTGCTCTGGAGAGCACCATTCCAGCAGGTTCTATAGGGAGTCATCACTTTCTAAAGATCCATTAATTTAACTATGGTCAGTTAAACAGATGGTGTGTTCAGCTAAGTAATTAAGAGGTTGTTTGAAACTAAAACCAGAAACCTATCAACGGCCTGTGTTCACTTCATTGATAAATTCATTTCTTAATTGATCAAATGCTTAAACCAGCATTCCTAATCTTTAAATGACAAGCTATTTAGGATGACCTCTAACTGGACTGAGACTTGGGACTCCTGTTGTAAAAAGACCAATAGAAACACCGCAGGTCAGTGCTTGCATTGCCAACTGGTTAATTAAAGTAAGACTGTAGTTGAAAAAAGACACTCCATTAAAAGCATTAAGTAAAGATTGGGTGGATGATGAATTCCAGTCATGTGGTGCAGAGATGGCATGATAAACAGGGAGCAGAAGCTCACAGAAATAATTACACAGCTTGATTTGTGCCGGTGCAGTTCAGAACGAACCACATGTGCTTTACAGATTATGTTCTGACCTGAGGCTGGACTCCATTGTCTGTCTCTGCTGACTCATGAAAAAATCATCTGATCTATTTCCATTTTCTTTGTAGTCGCATTTTAGGAAATCACTGGTTTCTCTTTCTTCTTCTAAAACCCCAAAACCCTTCAGCATTCTGCTTTGGTTTTCTTTTTTTTAAAAAAAAAACAAGCTTCCAGCTTGGTAATTACGTTGACGTAAAAAAAGAAGAGATTTCTGATTCGGTCACTGCTGTCTTCTGGACAAGAGTATTTTTATCGGAATGCTGAAGGGGAGAACTCGAGAGGAAAAACAATTGGAAATGGAAATCAGAGGCCTCTGGTAATCGTTAAGAAACTATTTCCAACATCCTACATCATGCATTCCAAATCTTACTTGTTTTTCCCTCTGACACAGAAGGCTCTGTAAATGGAAAAGCTTTGAGAGTAAAGTGAGATCATAATGCTGTCTCACTCATTCTTGTATTAAGAAGAGGAAATGCATGATGTGCACTGCACATTCACACAGGTTCTCTGTTGCTGTTCCTCACAGCACATACCTGTTCAGTTCGCTGCCCGCAGAGAGCACAATGGATGGCTCAAACAGGCTGACACTCCTGCTGAAAACATATGGCTGTCCATGCCCAGAGCAGGGACCTCGAACCCTGGTCCTGGAAAACCCTAATCCAGCAGGTTCTGTGGGTCACCAAAGCATCACGTTTCTAGGACCTGGATCAATTCCATTGCGATCAATTAAACGGGCGATTTGGTACATTAAACGATTTAGAGGACTAAATACCCTTCAGTGCATAAGGACCAGAGTTCTCTTAACTGATCAGATTGCTTGAGTGACCTGTAAGACTAACTGGGGATCTCCAGGACCAGAGTACCCTGAAATGAAGATGGAGTGTTTCTTTCCGTGCTGCTTGTTCAGTCATGTGTTGTAAAAAATCAGGAGGTGGTCAAGAACAACCGTGATGCATTTCTTAAGCAAGGCTTTGCAAGCGCTTTGCTCTTTAACTGCGCATGAACGCTTTTTTCCTCATTTGCCTCCTCCGAATCCGGAATGACTGCCTATGACATGGTCTTGCCACTGCAAGCACGTGCCTGCACGTGCAGCTCGGAGGGTGTGTTTACTGCAGTTTTTTTAATGAAGGGCGACCAGCAGTTTCAGCCGGGCAGCCGTCCCAGGTGTGCTGTTCGATAAGGGCACGCCGGATGACTGCAGGCCAGCGACTCGTCTGATGTGGCCTCTGTCTCTTCCAGCGAAGCCCAAGATCTACGAGGTGGACGTAGACAAAGGGGAGCTGCAGACCTACGCGGCCGGGAGGGAGCAGCAGATAACCTGCACCGCCTTCGGAATCCCAGCTCCCGAGATCACCTGGAAATGGGAGCCCTGCACCCCCGGCTCCTCCGCCCTGCTGTGAGTTTCCCAGCTCCCTTCCTCTCGCGCCGCTCTCTCTGCCAAAGGCACTCCCGCCCCTGCCTCCCCGGAGGCTGCGTTGAAACTGGACTTAAAGGCTTTTAGAGGTTTCACAATAGAAACAGCTCAAAGGGGTTGCCAGGGCTTGGTTGGATTGTGCAGGGCTGTCCGAATATTATTTCAATTAAAACCGGGTTCATGCAGAGATGAGTGGTATTTGCACTTCTAGTCAAAGCTTTAGAAGATCTGGCTTGCAGCTATTAGGAATATGACACAATGAGAATCGACACTGGCAGATGATACACAGACGGAAGGAATCTATGTGAAAAACGTCATTGATCTCTGGATAGCCAGCCTTGTTGAAACCACGCCGTTTCTTCACAGTGTTTAGGGTGATTTTTTTTTCTGAACAATTTCACAGATGGAATATAAAAAAATCCAGATTCTTTTAATACCGCATTTTCTGGAAACACAGAATTTAAGAAGCATTGTTTTTAATCTGTTTGTTGTTAGTAAACCTTGAGTATTGCATGAATTCCTTTTATAAACGCTTTTGACTAAATAACAACAGTGGAAGGCCGGCTTGCCTGATTAATCAATGTATCAACGTAAACATGCCTCACAGTTGAACTAAATGAGTCCACATCCTGCCGGTGCAGAATGGCATTCAGGATGTCTGAAGTGATTGCTCTCCAGCTCCAGGCAATCGGCATGTTTGAAACACACACTTGTGAGAGACTCGGGCTCTCTCCACTTTTGTTTCTGCTGAACAGCAGTCACTACGTTCTTCCAAAGAAATGACACTGTTCAGAAATGACAGCACTTCCACTGGAGTTGGATAAGGCACAGGGAGGAGAACTGCTATACACAGGACCTTCTAAGCCTGCAGTGAGCCTTCAAACCACAGCCCCTATCCAGTCCACTGTACACAGCCCAGACAAAGGCACACACAGACAGCACATCCACCTGTGCAGCAAACAGGGAAAAGAAGCGATTGCATTGGAATTTGTCACAAAAGGGCAAGGATTCAGACATAAATACAAGACACTCTCAGCCGTCTGCCCAGCTTTCAGTAAACATATTTTGCTTGTTAAAAGAGGAAAAAATGCAGAATAGCTGTGTTCCCAGATTCCATTCTTAGTTGTGTTGGAAGTGTGGCCCATGGGAGAGAGGGAGCTGGCTGGAGGAAAGCCTCTATGGTTCTGAAGGAACCTGGTTCCTGTGCTCGTTTAGAACATTTTTACAAGTCCTTCTCTGGCTGCGAATGAATCCAGTTCCTAAACCAGAGCCTTGTGCTCCAGGCAACTGGTTTGGAATGACCTCCCTTATCTGCCTGCGGCGTGGAAGAGGAACGGTGTGGTTTGTCGTGTCCCGAGATGTCTTGTGCCGATACTGCTGGGCGTGGGCTCGGTGGCCGTCTCCGTGGCGATATCTGCACAGGCACAGTTTGCAGCAGCCAGGCTGACCTGGGACTCCAGCTCTGACACACCCACCAACCCACCTCTGGTTCAGCAAGAATGACACAGTCCAGTCTGTAAATGAGAGGATCCACTGTGTTCATTATTAGGGACTTCGTTCCTCTAACAACAACAGTAGTATATGTTAGTCCCCAATGTCTCAAGCTTTTATGTCACTTAAAACTTAGATAACACCTGAGCAGCTCCATGTTAAAAGTCACACTGCAAACAGACTTCTATAAACAAGAGGATTAAGCACTGAGAGCAGACTTCAGTCTTCAGAGCTCTGGGGCTACTCAGACAATAGTGACTGGCTAAGCAGTGTTCATTCAAATAAAAATAGAAACGTTTACATTTCAGGCTATATAATGAGCACACAAAACACAAAATTCTGTTATAATATTAGCAATGCAAGACTTATTATTTGTGACAACCAAAAGCGCTGATCATAAAATGTAGTTATGACTGCATGCACTCTAGTGTGGTTAACTGCTACAGTGAAGTGTTAATGATTAAGCCTGGTTATGAAAACAGCAGTTTGTAACAGCTGCCACAACTCATTTTATGGCTGCCAAGTGATGAAATGTTATGGAAAAGATGTACTGGGATTTCCCGACATAGGTGAAATGTGTAGGGGTTTGGTTTATATAAAACCAGAGCCAACTTTTAGTGTTTCACTCCCTGCTTTAATTGCTGCAAACTAGACCTTAAACAGATAAGAACCCACTAAATATAATACCGCCCCTGAGCTGTTTGTGGTGAAGTGCCCAGTCCCAGCCCCAGCCCCAGTCCCAGCCCCAGCCCCAGTCCCAGTCCCAGTCCCAGCCCCAGCCTTGCGTGCCTCGGTGTAGAGTTACATGTTCTCCCCTGCTTATGTGGGAGTTCTGCAGGTGCTCCAGTTTCCTCCCAGCTTCCAGAGCAGGCTGGCTTCATGGGTGTTCTAAATCACGTGTGTGTGTGCCCTGTGAAGGACTGGCGTCCCGTCAAGTCTGCAGGCTTGCCCTGTGCTGCTGGGATAGGCTCCAGGGCACTGTGATGCTTACCCGGAATAAGCGGCTTTTCGGCTGAGTGACAGCTGGGCGAGATGCACGGCATGGTGCCTTCATCACAGCTGGGTCGCTTGAGCACAGTATTCATCAGCAGGGCCAGAGGCCTGATCGGCCATCCTCCCTTCGCCAACCGAGCTGCTCGGCGGAGTCTTATCTCCCCTGGCCAGGCGGCGGGGGGAGGCTTCCTCCTACGAGGAGTGACGCAAGCCCAGTCCTTCCTGTTGTTCCCTGGCTTCCTGCTCAGCGTAGCTCAGCCCTCAGCAACGCGATTGTTCTTCTCCTGAGGAATGAGCGGGGCTGGGCGGCTTCCCCGAAGGTGTGTGCTGGATGAGTCTCCTGGGCTGCGCGGCTGCCTGGCTTGCGGGGCCGGCTCTTGGCTGGAGGGTGAGGATGAGCAATCCTGCAGGCTTCTCCTGCCCTGTTCCCAGTCACTGCCGGCGCCACTTTACTGGATTCTCCGGAAGAACGGCACCCGTTCACTAGCAGGCTGGCACATCTGGGGAGGCTGCTAATTTTAATACACTGTTCTTAGTGGGGAAGAGAAGAGCCAGCATGCATGCTATGTGCAAACCAGCTGCTAAATCTCAGTGTTTTGAAGAAATAATTTCGGCATCTGCATTCCTAGTGTAACTGTAGGGTTCGTTTGATGGTGGTTTAACACACTGCTGGCACGGATGGGAACTGGATGAAGACGGATATTCTTTTTTTTTTGCAGTTTATTACTGAACAGCCACATTTACAACTCTGCGTTCTCTCCCGCTCTCTTCCTGGTCTCTCCTCCTGTCCTAGTCACGTTCTCCCCCATCTCCAATCAGAAAGCACAGAGTCACATTACCGTCAACCCAGCCACCAGCTGAACCAGAGAACTCCACACAACTCCAAAACACCAGAAACTGCTCAGCTGAACACGACACCAACAGGACCTAAACTTACACTAGTACCAGCCTTTTCAGAGTTATAGGTAACTACAGTATACAGTGCTCAAATACCCACTGTACTGTATATACAGCTCATAGACACGCCTCATTTAAAAATTGCATCCAAAAGGTTTTTCTAAGGGATAGTTGTCTTCTTAAGGCATGCTTTTGGAACTTCAGTAGGATTCACCCGACACCTTGAATCTGTTTAACTGTGGTTCAGACATGAAGGTGTTTTCTAAAACATTTATTGGAAGGTCCTGGGTGTGAACTCATGCATCTGCTCCACAGGTGTAAGAGTTTCAGAAGCTCTCCAGTCCGTGTCTGGGAGGAGGACAGCGATGAAGGCAACAGTACTCTTACAAACAGGATCAAAGCTATAGAAAGCAATAACAAGACTCTCAATGGAAAAAACAAGGTGGGTTTCCCATCAGACTGTACAAGGAGCTATGTAGGTTTTTTTAAACTCTTTAAATCTGCAATAAAATTAACTTCTGAAGCATTTGAATGCAGTTGATTATTTTCAGATTATCCATACGTTGTTAAAAATTATGAGATATCAATGTGGATCCTATATAACCTCCAGTACAGAATGCAGAGGGATGTTTTTTTTTTATCTGGCACTATTATTCAGCTTCAGTCACACTGAATTAATTTAATTCATTTATTTATTCATTGAATAAAATCCGACTGATTTCTTGCAGGCCAGCAACACGTTGTTCAAAACAAACTATTATTCCAGTATTCCTGCCAGAGGAATAATTTAGTTAAGCAATTGAGAATGTCTCCTACAATATAGTTGAATGTATATAAGTTTGCAGTTAAGTAACTTTGCTTTTGATTACATTGGAAGTTTAAATTACAGCTTAGTTTTCTGTGCCAAACACCAGCAAACTGTTTTGGGTTTATGTGTGTTTTCTCTCCTCACTTGTCTGCGTTTTAGCTGGCTGACTGAGTTCACTCTCAGTGTCTCCTGCTGGGAAAAGTATACCCTCAATCCTCCGTCACTATAACAGAAACCTGCCAAACACTTGCCAAAATACAGTGTTTCAGTCAGATTTCAGGATTTCAGAGCTACGGTCGAAAAAAACAATTCGCAATTCGCTCCACTGGAAAAGCAGAAATAACTTTGCCTGCAGGGACTTAATAAACTGTCTTTCAAAATATATTTGTTAGGAGCTTTTACTGCAAAAGGGTTATGAGTTTAGCTACGCTGCATATGTGAAATGTTTTTTATGAGGGCATTCACAGTGATACCGAATTAAAGTCTGTGTAAATGTTGAATTGTACACGGACAAAACGCAAACTAGCAGGGCATCAGATTGAATTCTCGTGATTAAGGGTTAGTGTCCATCTCCCAGATCGCAAACAGGAGAGCCTTCATTCCCCGCTGCGACAGGTCAAAGACAGGTTTGTCCTGCTCCCGAATCACTCTGCTCCTGCTCATCTTCGGTCCCTTATCTCTCCCCCCCAATCCGCTCCTCCTCTTCCTTGCCGTCTCTGAGCCCCTCAGCTCCAGAATACGCCCCCTCTCCACCCCGAACCCCTGAGTGTTGGGGTGACTCAGGCCCTGCCGCCCGGCCCCTGTGACCCCTCACCTCCCCATCGCCCCCCTCGCTGGCTCCTGCTCCATGTTGAGCTAGTGCAGGACCTGGGTGTGTTCTAATCCCAGTGAATCTGGATTGGACTGGGTGACACTTGCAGTGCACCGAGCTGAATAGCTCTGGTCAAATCTGCACGTTTTAGGTATTTTATTTATTTCATTTTACTGTACTTAAATGATTGTTTACCTTGTATGGACGCAAAAGTTAATATTTGTATATGCTGTATGTCACCCTGGATAAGGATGTCTGCTCAGCTAGTAATAATAATAATAAAGTCTAGTTTATTTAAACAGTACTCAAATGAACTCAAAGTCCTGATGTAGTCCTCACCTGATATACAGTACGCCTCACTAACCACCCCCACATACGCACTCACTCCCCAGGAATCTTAACACGCTGCCTTTTAAGTTGGTAAAAGTAAGGTTTCAATTAAGTCTTTTAAAACCTCCAAAGTGTTTGAAACAAAGGTCATTACCGTTTAAAAAAAAAACTTTTAAAAATTATTTACTTGTTTATTTACACAAGGGGGTGACAGGCAAGCTCCAAAGTAAGATTTATAGTCCAGGATATGAGCCCTAGACGACCAGCGACATTCCGCCTCCGGCACGGCTTTCCTACAGGACTCCGGAGCTAGGAGCCCACGCTGGAAAACCGTGTCTCGCGGGGAGCAGGTGTGAGCGGTGCATCGTGGGCAAGGCGCTTTTTAAATGCCTCGGAATATTAAAACGCCGCAGGGGCTGTGCCCTACGTCAGCTTTTCGTTTCGGCAGCGATTTTAAATCCAAATAGCTTATCTTCTCTGCCGCGATATCTGAAGATCGGGCAGCTCCCACACCATTTTGACTGCTTCCTAAGCACACGCTTGGGGTTGTGGGCATTACAATAGGTCTCCCAGGAGGGCTTGTTACCAGAGCCACTCACCCCAGACTTAATTAGGCACGGGGCCTAGTTTATTTCACTGTGCTCTTGTAAGCCGATCCTCCGCGCTCGTTGAAAGAAGGCCCTGCAGTACGTGGGGTCATGGGGCTCCAAGCTCCTCTCCAGCATTAAAGTGGCATTTCAGTGATAAACACATAGTAAAATGGAGCAAAGCCGAGCAGACACAGGGTTAGGAAAAAAATCGGAGCCATTGGAAAAAGCAGACAGGCTGCCCTAACCGTGCAGTAAAATCTTGCAAAAAGATTCCTGTAATCTGTGCTGGCACTGCCGTGCAGTAGCTCTTCGTCTTCAGAGGGACCGGGCTAGATCCGGAAGGGCTGTGCCCTGGGTCCTTGGGGTAAGAGGTCTGTTTCTTCGTGGGGGTGAGGGAGCCAGGGTCAGCGACAGCACGGCCGGCTCTGTGTCTGAAAGAGCGAGAGCCGTCTGAAGGAATTCCCCTCCCTCTCCCAGTGGCGCGGAGCCCCTGTACCCCTCAGCAGTAAAAGCCGGTCTCTCCAGGATTCCTCGGAAACTGGGGGAACTCCGGATGAGAGAGCAGGGGCACAGTATGAGCCCCCGGGGCTTTTCTTCATAAACCTGGACCATAACCTGTTTCCTGACCAGGGACACGGGATCGGGACACAGCCCAGAGTCACACAGACCACCCTCCCCTGGGTGTCTGCTCTTGTGTGGACCTCCTTTCGGTTCTCATCCTGGTTTTATCTGCTGTTCTCTCCCCCCAAAGTGCGGCTCCACGCACAGTGGAAGTGACTGGAAATTTAGGTTTTTTTCCATTTTATTCGATTTCAGAGAGAGATTTTGATTTCGAGCAAAAAAACGTAAGCTGACTTCTGAGGCCTGGCTCACCAGTCCTCACAATACCTGTTTCTGGGCACTTCCTTCAAATCTTACCATTCCAGTCTCCTATATTTTGAAGATCGAATCTATACTGCGGGAAACGTGCAAGGAGAAACATTCGAGCAGCTGTTAGAGACGTTTCACTTTGCTGATCTGAATAAGGATCAAATAGGGACCAAAAAATGATCCGGTGTGTTCAGATATTTCTTCAGTGTGGCTTAAAAAAGCCAAACCACAGGTTCATTACCAAGCCAAGAAAATGGAAAAACAGCTCAGTGAAACTGTTGCTGAAGTCAGATTTAGAAATTCTGATTTGCTGTGGTCTAGAATGTTTGATCTGAAATTGAATACGTTTGAAATTAGCTCAGACTGATGTGGCTATTCTCTGGTGTTCATCAGAACTGAGGTTTGAAACGCTGATGATTACCGAGCAGTTGGACAGCACAGGAAGTGGACTGAAAGCAGGTCTGACAGCCGGAAAGTAAATCTAACTGTCCACCCATTTTTCAGCTCGTCCCAGTAAGGTTCACAGCAGTGACTAATGCACCAAGACGAAATACCAACATCCCTCAGCTGTGTTTGAAGGTAGAATCTGAAAAAACAGATGTCATTCAGAAAGTTAAACAGAGCCCAGAACTGTCCCATTTTCCTGGCTTAAAGAATTATTATGGCCACTTAAATCATTGGTCAGGGCTAGTGTCAGTGAACCTAGTTTTCAAGTAAACCCACTGTGGAGACCGGTATTGAATCCACATGTAATACGACACGTATTTGCTTTTCAGGTTTGCCCTTTGAGTAGTTCAGATATATCACCCCCTAATTTGATTACATCCCTTCACTCACTACAGGAGATACCAAAGTGTCTTTTTTGTTTCCTTCTGTCAGACCGTAAGCACACTGGAGATCGCAGAGGCCAAGGTGTCAGGAAAATACACCTGCGAAGCCAAAAACCACGTCAGCGTAGTGTCATGGAGCTGGATTTTCTATGTGGCTGGTAAGCTGGTATCAGATGTGCTGCAAAGCCCATACTCTGAGCTCCCACTGTTACCTGCAGTATTCCCCTGCTGTAAAGAGAAAACCACTTCTGCTGTCATACAGTGGTGTGGTGTTGAATTTAATGAACAACTGAGTGTATGTTTGTTATTGTCAATATCATCCTTATGTGGGTGTGGTTGTTGTTAACAGCGTTAATCAGCTTGATTTGGAATTAAGTAAACAAAAAACTCTAGTATAAAGAGAACATTGCCTGGTAGTTTCGTTCAAACAGGTAAATGTTCATCTCCTTTAGGGACCCTATATCACAATATGACAGAAGCCAAACACTGTGTGAATAATACAGCACATGGAGGTGAGGGGATTGTTTCACTAACTGAAACCCTGAAACCATCTCACAGCGAAACAGAAATATTGAGATGGGTTACTGTAGGTACGAGATGACCGAACGCATGTGATATTGTCTGCCTTCATTGTCTTGGGCTCATAGACTGGTGAGCAGTCAGGTTTTGTTTTCTACAAATGGGTGCAAAAAGTGAAAGAAACACTACCTGCAGTACAAAGCTTTTGCCACTTTTTTTTCTGAAACAACTTTGCCAGTTGCCAGACCTGAAATGTTAATATGAAGCTCACCAACACAGGAAGAGTTTCTCTGCTGTCCACAGCTGATCAAAGGGGTCATGTGATATTGTGAGTAATGGAGAAGAGCACCAGGAAAGCCAGGGATGGGGTCTTCACCCACCTTGAATGTACAAATCTGGTGGCATTCCTAAGGCATTCAGTGTGAGACCGTGAATTGTTACAAAATCACCAGCTGAATTTTAACCTGTGATACTTTTTGATCTCCGGGTTTCTCCTGCCTAGGAAAGAGGCACAGATACTGTAATGGCTCCAGCCTCCCAGTCGCCAGAAGTTTTGCGCCTTGTTAAGATACATGCTAGCATTTGATGGCTTTCCTTCTGATTTTCTGCAGATCAGCAGGATGACTTTAAAATTAAAGTCAGCGACACGGCAGTAGAAGGGAATGATGTGAACCTGACCTGTCAGGTCACGAGGTACCTGTACACAGACATGAAGTGGTATGACCCCAGAAACCGCACTGTGCCCGCGTCCTCCACCACAGTGGACTATGGGCCGTACTCTGTCTCCCTGTCCATCACTGTGAAGAATGTGTCCAGAGGCGATGCAGAGGGATACCGGTGCACAGCATTCAACACCTACAACAAAAAAACAGTTGAAAAGAAGGCTACATTGACCGTCGATGGTGAGTGTTCGGCTTTAAGAGAAGCCATTGCTTGTGATGTCTTTAAACAAATCAAGGCTTACGCGCGTTCTGAATAAAACAACCCCACACAGTACGTAACAATCCAGGCCTACACGTGTGGGTATTTCCGCACATATATCTGTGTGATATATGCCCACACTTCTTTAAGAATTCACCCTTGGCCAGCACTCAAATTCATACTTCAGGGCAGGCATTTGACACATCTCCACTGATCCAGATACAGGTACACAGAGTGTCCTGGGCCCCTGTAGGGTTTTGCTCTTGCTGCTCATAGGCTCCACACCCACATTGTTCCGAAGTTCCGTAACTGTAATTCCGCCGTCCTGCGACGGCTGTGGAATGCGTGTGCATGCCGCCGGAAAGAGAATTGCTGGCTTGGGAGCAGCTGCACGGCGAGGGCCCAGGGCTCTGAATCCTCCACTAGGTGAAGTGAATCACTCACTGGGGTCCCCAGCCTTTACATCCGCTTGCAGCGAAAAGTCTCATGGATACAGACCCAGCGCCTTCACAGAGGAATGGGCGGCGCTGGACCGTGTGACCAACCTGTGCGTCTTGCAGAGAGGATCGGCCCCTGGCTCACGCAGAACCTGACCAACCAGGACGTGAACAGCAGCAGCACTCTGACCCTGGCCTGTTACGCGGAAGGCGTGCCCCGTCCTCGTGTCAGATGGTACAAGAACAACCAGCCGGTTCAGGAAGCTCCCGGTGAGTCACCACAAGAAGGAGCTGCCTTACGCTGGGAGGAAACTGAAGTGCTGTAAATCTCTTTCTGAACCCGAGTTTGCCACAGATGAGCCCTGCATGAAGGGGCTCAAGATGCCTCTTTCCTTCAGAAGCATGAAGGAAAAGTTCTTGTTTAATCGTCAGGCAAACCACAGTCACTATTTATTAGGTCCTATTAGGCTCTTCCTTGAGGTACGCTCCCAGAATTACTCTGCTTGTAATTTCTTCTGCTGAAGTGTATGGCAGAACACCCTGACATCAGCAGCATGTGGGCTAAGAGTAAAAAAACAGCCAAATATAAGTCTTAGCTTGAACTGCAGTCTGCTGAACACTGACAGTTCTGTTCAGGTCAATGGCAGCCAACCCCACTGCATCATCTCAGTTTCCACTGGCAGGAAGGTGTGTAGAGGAAAGCAGGGCAGGTTGACATAGACAGGGGCTCAGACTGGCCCCCCAGTCCACCAGCCCACCGGCTCATTAAGTGCCGGCAAGAGGGATCTCTGTAAGAGCCGAGGAGCTGGGTGCACTGAAGCACTGGGCTGGAGCAGACTGGAAGGGCTGCAGTGTGGGAAGTCCCAGAGGAACCAAGGGACGTAGATAATTGTCAGCTGACGAGGTTTAAGGGGGGGGGGGAGGTCAGGCCATGGAGGGTCTCCGCACCTAACGGAGGCACGTGTTTCTCCTCCAGGGATCACTGTGACTCAGGACGGCCTTCTGATAATTGAGCGAGTGAAGAAGGACGACGAGGGGCTGTACGAGTGTCTGGCGAGCAACGACGAGGGGGAGGTGAAAACGTCTGCGGTCATCACCGTAGTGGGTAAGAGGCCTGGAGCCCTGTCGTGTCAGCTCGTACTCCGATGGTGCTCCTGCTGGGACAAACATCATGCCCCCTGCGGCCGAAGCCGCCTCATTTGTCTTTTGAGTCTGAAGCATTTTAAATATATGTATGTCCATTCAGAAACCGCCACTAGTAAAAAGGCAAAACAAAAGAATTCAGCCTCTATTGAACAGATGGGAGGAATAGTAAATTGCCTGTTTGATGTGGGCTGGCTTTAATAGGCCACCACACTCAAAGCAGGGCTTTTTAATGAAACATTGAGAGTCTTTTGACAGAACCTGTTGTGTTGCATTCGGTTTTCCCTGTGCTGTGTGGGTGAATGAGGGCGACAGTAACTATAGCTGAGATTTTTCATCAGACTGGAGGTGTGCCTCCGCAGGAGTTACTGGGAATGTCAGCAGGATTCCTCTCCAGCTTTATTATGTGCTTCCTCTGCGGGGCACACACGTGGGACCTGACCTTTTGAAAGTTTGTGAAGGGTTTTGCTAATGGGACTGGGCAGTTTGGAGAGAAATTTAGTCATTAAATGGGCATGAAACCTGAAACATGAAACAGGCTTCAATCGCGAGGTCATGCTAAGGTATTTTTGGTTGCACTAAATTGCAGTCCTGTTAGTTTTTTTCCCCTCACTGACTTCTACAATAATCCATTTCATAACCGGCACAAATTACTTCCCAAGAAAGGTTTGTTTAAAAGAAACCAGGTTTGTCTCGCAGTTAGTCCTCGTCACATGTGGCCTTATTCACTCGGAGTGATGGAGTCACTTTCTCCTACTATGAAAAGAGGGAATTGTGAAGATATTTCAACATCACTGTCCTTTAAGCTATAGTTCATGATCAGTAGATAAACATCTGTGTATCCAAAGAGTAGAGGTGTTCTAGCAACAGAAATATCCAAAGAATTTAGGATTGAAGAAAAAGAGTGGATCCTTCAAATTAAATTCTAGTATGTGAAAGAATCTATTCTTTGCAACTCAGTACTTGTTTGACCTCTTTTTGCTGAACCCACCTGACATTTTTTGTCAGGACACAGTTTAAGATTTTATTTAAGATGTGTTGCATGAAATGGAAAGATAATTAAATTGTATTCTAGCCATGCCTTGGACAGAATATTGCCTTATGCTGAAGGCAGGAACAGTGACCTTTCCTCCTTACGGCAGTGGTCTTATCAGTTTGAGAATCTGGCCAAGCCATTTCATGAATGAAGCCAGGCCTTCATAGTTTGTTCCAGACACACCTTTCTTTTCCCAGCCCTGTCTGCGGCCCTACAGCGAATGGCTGTATGGTGTGGCCTTGCTACCAGCTCTCTTCAGGACCGAAGAGATTCGACTGCTCCATCCTGCCTGTGTTCAACAGAACTGTCTTGCTGGGCGTGGTTCTCACCACTCTGCTTCAAACTTTCTCTGGCCTTTGTTTTTCTTTTGCTTCTGAACTGAAGCGATAAGTGATCCCCTAGATAAGGTCTGACCAGCACGCAACTGGTGTGTTTCAGGGTCCGACGACAAGCCCAACATCGAGGTCATTATCCTGGTGAGCACAGGAGTGGCAGCCACTTTCCTCTGGCTCATGCTAATCCTCTTCATTCGCAAGTTGAAGAAGGTGAGAGCAGCGCGCCCTGTATCCTGCCACCCTCCTTCCAGACAGAGCCACCTTTTGTTCATTGTTTGCTGTGTATTTGTTATTTTCTGGGGACAGGGGTGGGGGTGCTGGGTAGCAATCTTACCTTTTTAAGGAAAGAAACAATGATACTGCTGTATTAGTTTCGGCAATGGCCCTGAGATGGCCTTGTTGCAAGTTAATGAACCCTGCAAGAATACTTGAAATCGCCCCGGGTGAGTCATTCCTTTTGTGTCACATGCGTTTCCATTCTGAGAGGACGCTCAGAGATATTGTTGAGGTTGCACAATTCTCTGCTGGCCCACAGGGCTGAAAGTTTCAAAGTACTTCCATTGAATTTTGAGCATGTCCACACCGGAATGACAAACACCCAACAAGCTAGAAAAAGATACCCTTTTCTATTGTGTCGACTGGAGGATAGTTTCATTGGATATCGTGTCTATGCGCAGTGTCTGAGGAGTTATTTCAGATGCTAGTATTTCTGGGGGGCAAGGAGAAAAACACACACTTTCATTTTTAGTCTGGGGAATTTGGTGTTAAAATTGAGCAGAATTCTCATCCGAATGTGTCAGCATTTTTTCAAATAAAACATAATAAGCATTTTTTTTAAATAAAGATTTTAATAAGCAATTTTCTAACCACAAAATGACCTAAATCTAATTATAATGATCTGATCTTATTCACAAAATATAATGTATCTACTTACTTACTGTACGTAGAGACACGCTAACAGTCTATGTGACATACATATATATGCAGCATATGCTAAATATATGCCTATACAATAAACTGCGTTACTCAGGAAGTATCAAATCAATTCAGCTGGAAGTGTTTCAGTCCGATGTACATGTGAGAAAAGCATCTGCTTTTTCAATCGAGTCAGTTAAACACAGGGCACAGAGCTTTTCTGTTTTATTTCATTGTTCTGGAGTGGTCTCAAGCCCCGGTCTCTTACGCACACCGGTCCTTTCCCAGCCCAGCTCCGCGGACATCAAGACCGGGTACCTGTCCATCATCATGGACCCCGACGAGATGCCCCTGGACGAGCAGTGCGACCGCCTGCCCTACGACAGCAGCAAGTGGGAGTTCCCCCGAGACCGACTGCGGCTGGGTAAGCACGCGGCCGTTCGGACCCGGGACTCCCCCTGTACAGCTGCGTCGCGAGGTGCGCGGTGAGCCCAGGCAGCGCTCCCCCCGAGTCCATGGCCCCGGCCACAGCTGTGAGGCGACTGCCATGCTTGCGTCCCTCAAGTCAAGGCTGTGTCACTCAAGGTCACAGGGAGCATCCTCTCAACCTGCTGCCCAAGGGCAGAGGAGGGGGACTTACTGTGCGCCAGCCTCCGATCTCAATACGAGCCCCAGTGCAGCTCCTCTTCCTTACTCCCCTTGACGCCAGACACAGGACCTTCTTATCTGCCACGTTGACTGCATGCATGGTCATGACAGACGATTCCACTATAAGGTAGATGCACTGTATTGCAAGAACAGGAACGGGTTAGAAAGGCGATGATCGGTGTTTTGTAAGGGCTGTGTCTTTTGTCCTCACAAAGCCAGTATGGGAAAGTTATTTAGGTCCCGGGCCATTCGCTGAGATCAATGTCAGCAGTAGCCAGAAAGACATGCCGTGATGCCCCCTCTGTCTCCCCTTCAAGTCCCTGAAAATCCCCAAGAATTCCCTTATCACAGCCCTCGCCTCCTGGAATTTACTAGGGATGGAAAAAGGAAATGCTCAGCCTTACGATGGTATGTTGTAATCACCTCAGAGACATTGCACAACACTGCTGAGTCAAGGACCAAGTTTAACGTTTCCTTTAAATGTGAGCAGGCTTATAGGGCAGATGTCATTTTGAGGGGGGTCTGTATGGTTGACAAGTCTTTCAACACATGACCTGTACACGCCCAACTATACAGACCCCACTGCCCTGTTACAGTTAAATAAGAGATAAGAGCCTGTATTCGTGTCTTTCTTTTTACTGTACAAGTATAACAAGTGTGCTAAAACTAGCATCAGATATTTCATTTTCTGGATATTGCGGCCAATGCTGCTGTCAAATATAAATTTGGCTGCACAGTCTGCCTTTGACAGACGCGCCGTCGTTCCTGACCAGAGCCCCGTCCTGTGGTCTTGATGGATGGCTGTTGTATATCCCCAGTGGCTGGCTTGCAGCGCAGACAGAACGGCCGCAGGTTCTTCTCATTAGCGGCCTCTCTCTCCCGGCGGGGCTCCGATCTCCAGGTCACCTCTCAGAGCGCTCCGGCTCGGGCTCCGCCAACCTCTTCTTTTTTTCCGACCTCAGGCAAAACCCTGGGCCACGGAGCGTTCGGGAAGGTAGTGGAGGCGTCCGCGTTCGGGATCGACAAGCTCTCGACCTGCAAGACGGTTGCTGTCAAAATGCTCAAAGGTATCGTTCTGAATCCACCGGCTTGGTTTTTGGAGCTTCATGCTGGTACACGGCTGTCGCTCTTTTACTAGGTTTGTCTGGGCTGAAACCTTCTTTGCCCATTACTGCTCAAGAAGACAAGGGCATCGCTGTTCTCTTCTGCCTTTCTGTATTGGAGTTTTTTTTCAATACAGTACATGCATTCAAAGACTTGTAACACCCCATGTGCAAACGATTAGCCTGCGCACATGGGGTACCGGTTTAAAGAGGCGTGTGACTGGAGTTTACTCGACGTATTTATGCTGAAGGCAAGCTATGACCCTAGACCCCATAGAAGAGTCCTGCCAGTAAACTGATTGTGGAAGAGGTTATATCTCCCTCCTCATCCAAGATTTGCAGGTGAAATGAGGTTTAAGTGTACAAGGTGCAAATTAACTGAATGCAAAAACATCTGAGGTTTGATTATTATTCTCAAACTTATAGCTTTAAGGCACTGCATCCTGGGTTCTGACTTTTTCTCTTCATATTTATAAAATCAAGAAACACCCACAGAGTGAAATACTGTATGTATTATTTTATCATCAGATTTCTAAAAGTCGTCACTTATAACAACAAATTAAGAGACATTTTTCCCTTCTTCAGACGAAGACTGATCACAGGCAAGCTGTTCCTTAACAAGCAGTTAAGAAAAAAGCTGTAGAATAATTTTGCAGTGAGTTCAGAATATGCTTCTTTTCAATTTGTACTCGTTTTTAAAAGCACTATTGAAAATAAAGATTTAACGACAAAATACAGACGGGGAAAAAACCCACAACGACTTTGTTTGCTTGGTAACTTTTGATAACTCTAACATTGTGTTTCTAATTACAAAAGTATTTAGACAGAACTTATTTTGTAAATATTCATAATTCTAATAATATGACCAATAGCTACAAATGTAAATCAAGCTGAATTATTTTACCAGTACACGTGTCTTTTCATTTGCTTTGTAATAACCTTGACTAATCTTGTAATAACCTTGAATAATGTTGGATAATGCCAGCAAAATAAATCATAAAATATCATCTTTATTAATATTGGAACTATGGATTGAAACATTATAATGATGTCAAAGTACATCTGATTACTAAGTAACTACTTAAAAGTGTTACCCTTGAGTTTTCTCGTGTTGACTGAAATCCAGAAGGTCAAAATAGATTACCCATGGGCCCACAACCAGGAACATCATAAAACTGGAGGAGCTGTGAGTCCCAGCAGCCGTGCTGGGAGGTGTGCACAAGGAGATGATGAGTCTGGGCTATTTTTCTCGGGCATGTCCTTAAAGACATTCGTCTTTCCTCTGCATTAATCACCGAGGTAGAAGCTGAAGGATTGCTACGTCATGCGTCCTGAGTTGCCCCGTAATGAAAAGCAGTGTGTTCCTACAGCACAGCTACACGCTGGGGAATTCTGAGGACACATCAAACTACCAGGAAGGAGCAATCAGAACTGGAGCTGAGAAAGGAACAGCAAGATACTGGAATCATCAGTGACAGAGACATAACCCTCCCACAGTGCACACACTCACCAGTGTCGTTTGTCAAATACACACCAAACATCCACAGGCGTCACAATCCTGCAATAAGGAGCTTAAGGCCCATAAGGGTGTCATCTTCTCTTAGTCTTCCGTTCTCATACGCTGCACACTGACAGAGAAGACAGGCTCTAAGATTGTGTCTTTGGGACCGAGTTCATGATCAGAGAAAATGAAAAAGTGACTTGGCTTTGAGTGTGAGCTCCCATCTTCTTATAAAATTGAGCACCTTTTTTGGTAAACCTAGAGTTTTAGCTTTTCCAAGTGCGTAAATCACATTTGAAAGACGGGACGGGAACTAAGGCTTTTTAAATCTAAAACGCACATGCAGTTTAATGCTTCTCACATGTACACATAGAGGGGATTGTTTCATACCAGCAGTGTAGCAGGGAGCATGTTGGGTTTTCTCTTTCAAATGATCTATGCGCTTGAGAGAGAACAACCTGCAGATGTTAAATCAGCAGATGGTGTGCTTTTGCATCTGTCTTTAATTGCTGGCCACACTTCTAAGAATTTCAGACTTATTTTGCTTGGGCTAAAGGTCTCAGATGTCCAGGCATACCTTTGTAATGATAAAAGCTGTGAAATATTACAGTCCAGACTGTCTTAGGGGTTCATCATCGGGTTTTTTCAGCCTCCTGTTTGTTGCCTTATTATATCACCCTCAGCCCGTGGCAGTGTCCTGAGGGCTGTAGCGATCTGATACAGGGGCCATGTGTTTGTTTTGTGCTGAACAGAAGGAGCTACAACGAATGAGTGCAAGGCTCTGATGTCGGAGCTGAAGATCCTGATTCACATTGGCCATCACCTGAATGTCGTGAACCTGCTGGGAGCCTGTACCAAACCTGGAGGTAGGGAAGGGGTGTGGACCGACTCTCCAGCGCAAGCGGCACTGCTCAGACCTCCGGCACTCATTGGTAGAGGTCCGCAGCACGCCAGGAGCTCTCACTGATGCACAGTGCCAGGCGCCAGGCATTATTATCACATGCAGAAATTAAAACTACAGGTTGTGCAGAGTCCGGTGGTTTTGTACAAACAGAGTCTCCCCAACTATATCGGACAAAAGCTGGAACACTGGGAGGTACTTTGCAAAAAAAAAAGTCAATCAGGCACCTACTGCTGCCTGGTTTTGTTGATCAGACCCCATCCTATTGCAGGAATAGATGAGAGATAAAGATACCCTCTTGACTAAAAAAGAGAGAGTTTAAAGAGACCAAGTATCCTGTTAACAAGTCTTGTTTACATGCACCTCTACAGGTCCCCTGATGGTTATAGTTGAATACTGCAAGTATGGAAACCTGTCCAACTACCTAAGAAGCAAGAGAGGAGACTTTGTGGTTGACAAGGTAAATCAAGCTCAAGGCTTCTCTCGCGTTCGTGCTGGGACGGGTGTTGACATTTTTTTTTTCCATTGCAACTGCAACAGAATGAACTTGTCCAAAAGTGGAATTTAAGACCATGCTGTTTACCTGCTTTTGCCAAGTGAAGAGCGTTTTTCTAGCAAGGCTCGCTCAATTATTATCAACAGCTGCGGTGACGGTTCCCGCTGTTTTCTACGGTAGCTGCTTAGAATAGTGCACCGTTCCCCTCCTGCTTGTGTCGACCCGGCTTACCGGAAAGGCCACACAGGACCATCCTCGGGCGGCACAGCCTCGACAGAAGCTCGGGTGCGAGGGGGAGGCTGTGCCCCCTTCGACAGGCTCGGGGGAGAGCGCGGGCTCTGAAGAAGTGTTCCTTGTGTCGCCCCGTGGCAGGGTCAGGGGCGCAAGGCGGTGACGTCCGAGTCGAGCCCCGACCTGTCGGAGCTGATAAAGAGGCGGCTGGAGAGCGTGGCCAGCACCGGAAGCTCGGCCAGCTCGGGGTTTATAGAAGATAAGAGCTACTGCGATTCGGAGGAAGAGGAGGAAGGTAACAGCGGAGCGTCTTCCTGCCGCCGCCGCGCTCACACAGCGCACTTCCTGCCGCCGCCGCTCAGCACTCACGCCCCCTCGATTGTTCTCCTCCTGCGATCTGATGGAGCGCTTCCTCCAGGGTTTATAAATATTGTGAACAATACATTACTGTCAGGCTCTGTTTGTCCCGTCCTGGTGCGTCTGCCGCTCTGTCAGGAGTAAACATGTTATTTATTCAGGTGGGCCTACAGTCTGACATGAAACTCATCTGATGTCTGTGTTTCATTTGACGGGAGACGCCCTGGACGCCCATCTCCGTTTTTTTAAAGGATGTTTTGAAAGCGCCCGAAATTTCACGCACGTTAATAACCTCAGCGATCGCGGGCTGCAGAACGGTGGGACTGAACCACGAGATAAGCGCACACGTGCTGTGAAGGGCTCTCTGTGTCTTGCAACCTTCTGCTGTTTATACAAGAATATATTTGTATTCCCGTTCGCTTGTACACCAGGCACCGATATGTGATCAAAGGAATAGCTTAAGTAAAAGAACCTCCAATCACACCTGCTTATTCAAATCTTTGCCAGGACTGTATTATTTAGATTGAACATTTTAATAGATCTTAAACTCGCACAGAAGGTAAAGGTTCACTCCAACATATAGTACCAAACACCTGATTTCAATATTTCCATGCCTGTTGATTCCAGGTTCTCTGGTTCTTTTCTATCAACAGAAGCTGAAGATCTGTACAAGCGAGTCCTAACCATGGAAGACTTGATCTGTTACAGCTTTCAAGTTGCGAAAGGCATGGAGTTCCTGGCTTCAAGAAAAGTATGTTTTTTTCTTCCTCCCAGTGCACAACTGTAGATGTTTCATTTCTTTCTTCAGTATTTTAATCGAAGAGATTCGTCGGCGAGAGCAGTTAGTGAGCTCAGATGAAAAGTTAACGTTATTTACTTTAGAACCAATGACATCTTGTAGCTTCATTTGAGTTTGATCTGGAAGAAGAAAGGAAACTTAACTTGTTTTGGCAGCTGTGTAAGTCTTATCCGGTATAAAATCATCATGCATGAAAATATAACAAAAGCCCCGTCCCCAGTGTGTATAGCAATACATTACCTCATTACTGCATGCTTAATTCAAATCAGTTAGCCTGCAGTAACGTTACAGTGGTGCAGAGGTCTAATTAATTATGCTGAAAACCCATTGTTGTAAATGACCTAATCAACTACAAACCTGAGTCAGGGGCATGTTCAGAAATGCCTGCTTGCAGCTGACTGAAATGCTCATCTCCGCTGCATGCTGATGTCCCCTCTTTGTTTTATACTGTTCATGTTCAATAATGACAACCGAGGAACCACTGCACACGCTTAGTTTCAACAGCAGAGATAATCTAGTGTGAGATCATCCAACGGGTCTCCACAACCCCTGTGTTAAATATGTTACCATTAAAAAAAAATAATGCAGGAATTTAAAATTGCAGTACAAAACCGCAGATGATAAACAGTATTTGTTATTGTCAGTTTTTAACTTGCTGTAGAAAGTTTTGTAAGCACAGTTGCTCTGTCTTGCTTTCCAGTGCATTCACCGTGATCTGGCAGCTAGAAATATCCTGTTATCAGAAAACAACGTCGTCAAAATATGTGACTTTGGACTGGCAAGGGACATTTACAAAGACCCCGATTATGTGCGCAAAGGAGATGTAAGTTTCCCTTTTGGACAAGTAGCAGACCTCTTGTGTGAATCGTTTTATTGTTCTGCTGGCAGGTGTGACGTGCGGTGTCGTGGAATGGACCCATGTGGCAATCCAGATATAGTTTAAAGTGTAAAAAAGGCGTGAAGAATGTTTTCTTTTGGTGAAAAATGATGGAAAGACTGAGAGCTCTTTCAAGAGGTCCTCAGTAACAGGAGTAGCTCTCACCTCAAACATGGGCAAACAGACCGTCAGAGAATTGTAGATCCTGTCTGTTCTGATTTTTTTCCCAACTTACCCGTAATTAAACTATCATTTAGAGCACTGAAGAATTTGGACAGGGTTAGTAATGAATGTGCACCCTGAACCCGTATCGAGGTTTCACATATACCCTCCTGTCAGCTCTGAGGAGTGTGAGTAATTAATAGGGAGTGGCTGATACGGTGTCATTCCCACTAGTGTGTGGATGTCATGAATTGCTCATCTGGTAAGAGGTGTTTAGACAGTGATAAGGCAGTATCCACTTACAAAGAGGCTTGTGGAGAATTGGGATGGAGCTTCCTTTGCTACATTTCTTTACATCCCCTCTTTACATTAGAGGAGACATTTTCCGCCCTGATGATAGCAAAGGCATTCGCCCAAATTATTTTCACTTTCATCAAGTTCATTTGATTAATTTAGCATCATCCACTTAGTTTTGATTAACATTAATTGCCTTTTAAAGCCAAAAGGCTAAGGGCATAAACAGGTCTCATTAAGCAAGAATTTCAATTAAAAGATCAATTAGCCTCAACTGGAACAAATCTCAGACGTCACAGTGGTCCTACAGCAGCAGGGTTGAGAGTCACTAGTTTAAGGTTAAACTTCTATTATTCTTCACAGGACCTGCATGAACATGGGCTGTAAACTTAAAAAGCCTTAGTCTGAAAAACTGGTCACTCACATTTGAATGGTTTTCTTTTGAGGAACGTTTGTTACAAAACTTATTTTCAAGAGTGAGATCGGGTCTGTTGTGTCAGACCAGAGACAATTAAACAGCCACTGAGGTCAGGCTCACAGCTCTCCTCTCTTCCTCCAGGCCAGGCTTCCCCTCAAATGGATGGCACCTGAGGCCATTTTCGACAAGATATACACCACTCAGAGCGACGTGTGGTCCTTTGGCGTGCTGATGTGGGAAATATTCTCTCTGGGTAAAAGACACTAATGCTTTATCTCCCAAGTGACACAGAATGTACAACCGATTTCCTCTGATGTTGCCGACAGTTGTCAGTTCAGAATGACACACCCCAAATGAACATTACAAAAATATTCTGCATAGAAATGTATTCCACCTACATGGTAATAACAAACAGAATTTCATGATGGCATTTGTATGGACCTGTAAGGTTAATTTATTTCCTGGGGTGAGACTGAGCAGCAACACCTGACTGATCCAGTGCACAGTGTAGTGAGAGATTGCGCGTATTGTATTTTAGAAGCTGTCTCCACTTTCTTTTTATCAGCTATTGACAAACTTCCAAATCTGGGACAGAAAGCATAAGCACACTAACAATAACTTCTTGGCAGACCGAGGTCATAATAACCTGACTAATACCAAATATTTTCAGGTTTTTGTGGCTTGCCGTGTATTTTTATAATCGAGCTCTAACAGCAGGTTTCGTCTAAAAAGAATACATGAATGTTTACAAGCAAGAGGACATTTGACCCGTCCAGCTTGTTTGGTTTTTAATTGCTAGTTGATTTGAGAATTTCATCCAGCAAATGAAAGAAGCCAGGGTATCGACTTTGACTCACAGCTTGGGAGCTTGCTCCAGATTTCCATATCCCCTTATGTACAAAAGTGCTTCCTGGAAATATTTGTTAGTCCAAACGGAAATGGTTTGGATTACAAGATCCTCTCTCACTATTCAGTACTAAAAGCTTTGCATAGAAAAAGTTGTTATTTGCAGAGTCGACCGATATTTGCATTCAACGAATATACTGGTAATTAATACTGAAGCATTTTCAGCACAGTTTACACCACTTAAACATTAGATTCCTTTCAGAATTGTACAGGAATGTGGGAGTTTACATGCCCTGAGCTTCACAATCCAAACTTATATTTCCTTCATTCCTGCAGTGAAGCCCAGAGCACAAGTACACGCAGCTGGTGCAGAGAGTTCTGCTACTCTAAATATTTACATATTGACATTGTTTCATGGCTATTTCTGTGCCCTAAAAAAATGGAAGGAATGAGACTGCGACAGAAAGTTACTGCCACGTTTTTGGTATCGTACGCGCTCAAGTTCTTCCAGTAAAAGAAGTGGATTTCGTGAAAAATGTGTGGTCAGACTCACAGCACAAGCTAGCTGCCAAGCGCAGATGTTAATGAGTCTGTCTGTTACTGCTTAATTGTTCCCTTGAAGGAAAACAGTATTACTTCATGTGGCCTGAAGAAAATAAGGAGCCGGGTGGCAGTGGGAGGTCGCAGCTGAACTCCAGCAGCAGTGTGACCAAGGAAAAGGTCATTAAAATAAAGTCGGTCAAGTCTCCACTGAAAACAAAGGCTTTCCAGTTGGTAGTGCATAACATTGGTAACCAAGCAGCTCATCCAATGTAAATGTTTGTCCTGACTGAGCAGTGCTTTTCTCTCCCTGTATTATCAGCACTCTACTTGCTGCGTGAGCCTGGTCTTTTTTTTAAAAAACTTGCAAAAAACATGAAGCCACGAAAGACACACAAACTCGTGTTTGCAGAGGACAGGGGTTGTTTTTTTTTGTCTTTCTGATGTAATTGTTTCAATCGCAGTCAGTATATATCCCAAAGAGACATATCGTCAACATCAGCTGTTTACCACGTGGCGTCGGAGCAGAACTCCGGTCTCTGCAGGAGTAGATTGATTTAATTTTTTCTGCTGCACTGCTGATGGAAGGCACTAGAAAAAAAATAAACTCCACCCCTCCCACACTTCCCACTTGTATATAGAGAAGTGTGTTTAGGTGTGTCTAAAAGAACATAATAGGGGAACTTAAGAATTCACAACAATTAAAAACCATAACCTTTGGAATCAGATATTATTTGCAGGTCAAAAGTTTGCCCGGGTCACAAATTGCAAACTTAAGCACATTATGGTATCGCACAACCTCCAGTGGCTCGGGCTTTGTCTTGCTACCTTGGATTTCCTGATCTTGTTAGTTTAGGTGCCACAGCTGAACACACACCCTGTTTTTAAATCAGCTTTGGGTTACATTGTAATTAATAAAGACAATACTGCGCAACAATGACACTCCCCCCGACATGGCTGTTGATGGGGGGGGGTAATGGGTTTAGGCTGACGTCACCCACTTTTCAGAACATTATTCTCTCAGAAAAATGGATTCATGTGCGCGCGATGTCAGAAGATCACATCTGGTCTGGAAAAATATTGTTTTTACAAATATCTTTAGAAAACAGACATTCATAAAAAGCAATCAAGGGGAAACTTACTTTGGCACACTTTGGCACTCGTTATTAATCCCATTTACATCCCAAACCCACTCTTTTGTGCAATCAGTGCTGCCTCACACCCCCAGGGCTCTGGGTTCAGTTCCAGATTGATGGGACAGTCTGTCTGTGTGGAGTCTGCATGTTGCACATGGGTTTTCATGAAGAGCTCTGGTTTGCTCTGTAAGACACGCAGAGGGGAGCTACCTTACACTGTCCCTCAATGGGCCAGGGTGGAGGGGTGTGTTTCAGTAGGGGCAAGGGGGTGTTCCTAATACAGTCGGCACCGGCTATAACACAGAGAAACAGAACAAACTGAACACGATGGGTCAAATGTCCTAGGATCTTGCTCTTCATTATAATAAAAGGGAATTATTTGCACTGCCATATTTCAGGCAGATGATGGGTGTGTAAACTATGTTTCAATGCGAAGAGCGTTTTGACTCTGGTCCGGCTTGTTGGCCTCACCGCGGCTCGCTCAACGAGCCGGCCCAGCCCAGTGACTCTTGCCCCTGCCCCTCCAGGAGCCTCGCCCTACCCCGGGCTGCACATAGACGAGGAGTTCTGCTGCAAGCTGAAGCAAGGCACCCGGATGAGGGCCCCCGACTACGCCTCCGCAGACATGTAAGATAAGAGATCACTTTATTGGCCATTTACAATGTCTTGCGGTAGGAATCTGTCTTTTTCGCAGGCCCCAGCTTGCTCTCCATGAGACACACAGACAGGGAGAGAAGCTGGAGGTCAGAGCGCAGGGTCAGCCTTTTATACAGCGCCCCTGGAGCAGCTGGGATGAAGGGCCCAACAGAGTAGGATTCCTCTGCCAGCCGCCGGATTTGAGCCGGCAACCTTCCAGCCACAAGGGCAGATCCTTAGACACAGAGTCACTGCCCCACCCCGTAAGCGACCGAGCGGTGCTGCTCAGCTCGAGCACCATCCTGGGCAGAGAAACTCAACTGTTCTGCACTGGTTTGAGCATTAGAGCCACTGGTCAACGGGGGGGCTGAAGTCCACCCGAGATACCAGTCCGTGCTTTGTGTAAAGTGCTGCCAGTGCATGACGGCAGACAGGCATCAGAGGGTGTTGCACATCAATAGTGGAAAATCATTCTCCCCGCCTATATCTGATGCCTGTGTCCTCTGGGTAATGCAGTTAGTTAAAACCGAATCTTAATCCTTCCTAATGTAAAGCACTACTCCGTACTACTACTGCCATTATTATTATTATTATTATTGATTCCAGACCATGTCATGAGCATGATTTCTGCAGCCCTAGTTATAGTGTCTTGACCTCTTTCTCACTACTATAAGGGGACACTGGCTTTTTATCTATTGAAATATCGTTGGTAAATGTGTCAAAATCAGGTGTGAACCCTGAGCTAACCTGCTTTGCCGTCTGTAGAATTTAAATTGTCCACAAACTGTTTTATATGACCTTCTGAAGCACTGAAGTATGTCCAGGGGGAGTCTTTAATCAGGCCCTGCGAATTTCCTGAAGTTCCTCCTGAAAAACAAGCTCAATTTGTTGTACGAGAGAGAAGGCCCACAGCAGCAATTCACTCAGTCCTCCTCGAGGGAGACGAGGGAGGGCCCACTGTAGGCCTCAGCCAAAGTCAAAAAGCTTTTCACATTACTACGGCTGAGAAGAAAAACATCTCAGATTTCATTACCAGGGATGTCGGACTGAATTCCAAGATCTGAAAGTGAAGCGCGCACAGGCATGTACTGACTGAAAGGTGCGATTGGCACAGAGCTGAAGTGGACTGGACACTCGCTGAGGATATAGATCTGACTGACACAGATTGGGCAGTAACCGAACCTCACATGAAAGACCTGGGACATCCAGGCAGCCCGGTCCGGTGGCAGCGCTCCCCAGCAGCTGGCATTGAAAGTCTGGGTCTGAATACTCCCCGTGTGCGGAGGCAATTCTCAAGGTAGAACCTTGTAAATGTTGTTGAAACCGAATAGTTTTAGTGTTTCTCTACGCTGTCAATCTTGGGTAGGAACGGTATTTGTTTTGTATTCCTTTTTTTTTCCTTTGAGACAAATGGAAGCAAAGCCCTCAGTCTCTCTGGCCTCGGCTGCCCAGTCCTGTGGTTCTCGCTGTTATTCCCTGCTTGCGATTACTAACACCACCATGTGAGACTCGTCGCCTGCTACTATTCCCAGGCACTGCTGCGATCCTTCAGTCCTGAACACACTTCTTCACCGAGAAGATGTTCGTCTGCAGAGCTGGAACAAACCCAGCTCTTGTCTATGTAAAGTTTCAGCATTTGACCTGCAGAATCCTTCATTCTGAACCACAAAGCAGTGTGCAAGGGGAGAAGTACTATATATGCAAACCAACTTCATGTATTTGAAAGGGAGCGAACTCAGCAATTCACTCAAAGACAATGTATCGGGTCTGGCAGTTCTCCTGCTCCACATTAGAAACCCCTGACGCAGTCCAGGCCTGGAGGCAGACTGTCTTGGTCTCTTTGCATCAGTTGCCCCTGCTGATAGGAGCTACTGTCCTGTTCCAGTTCAGCCAATTATACGTTACACTGGGGCACAACAATCTGAGCAGGAATGAAATCCTGTAGGACTGTGGACCTCCAGGACTGGACTGGGGCATCCCTGACCTAAATTCATGGTAAAGGCATCCGTTTCTCCTGTTGTAATTACGTGTCCCCTGTGACTTTAAAGCTCAATCCCATCCATAAGGCATCGACCAGCAAGACTCGCACCCAACACAGCCCTGAACACAGTACTAGCCTCCTGTCATTTCATCAGATGGCCTGAACCAGCCGTTTTGGGAGGTAAAGGGCAACGCTTGCTTGGGGCCGAGCACACTAAACTGCTCTTCCCCCTTAACTTGCGCGCAGCGAATCAAGACTGGTGCACAGTGTGAGGAGGACAGGGCGAGAGCACCAGGGCAAATCCTTACCCTGAAGCCCTGAGCGCACTGCGAGCAGACCTCTGGCCCCCTGCTGCCCAGCCCGAATGAGTCACCATCACGGACACAACAAAGAACTGCATCTGCAACAATAGAGAATTCCCTTCATTAAGACAATATACACACATTCCCAGATGTTAGCATGCCGCCACAAAACAGGAAGGAGGTGCCTGGGGATTTCATTGTGGAGCTATCGGACATCCTAGCTGCTCCTTGATTTGTGACCAATCAAAAGTCATTATCATGTGCGCTTCCCGACACTTCCGGGATCCGTGCACCTGGGGAATAAGGCTAATGACAGGGAGAATTACTACGGAGCCATTTCCTCCAATTAACTGCGGCATTGCTGGGGAAGACAAAATAGTGATTTAAGGCTCGGATATCGAAGGCCAAAACAAAAACACAGGTGGAGAAGGGGAAGAGCAGGGGACCATCTGCGTTTGGAGACTCCTTAGAAGGCAATGCAGAGTAGCTCAGCTACTATGAGCTTTTAACATCAGACTGTGTGGGTGATGCAGTTGTAGCCAGTCCCACCTCAACACGTGGCCAGCATGGCCAACTTCAATGCGGCTCCCAGTCACTGGGAAACAGCATGACATGCACGTATTTGCACAGTCGTTTCTAAGTGTGTCTGGCCACAGTGTGGTCGTTGTTCTAATACAGGGGTACGGGGTAACCCCAGTGCAGGATCTGCAGGGCTGGTGACATATAGGCTCGCAGTCGAGCTGGGCGTGTAACAACCTGAAGCGGCTCTTTATTGGATTAAGTATTGGTGAAGCTAACGACTTCTCCGAGGTCTTCAGCTGCTGCTGAAAAACCTGCAGGCACACCGGCCCTCCAGGACCAGGACTGGGGTTTTCTGCTTTATTATATACATCCAGGCGGGATGAAACAGAAACGTAAGCACTGGAGAATTTCATCACCAGGAGGTTCCCCCCATAGGAGGAGCTGTCTGAAGAACATAAGAAAGATTACAAACGAGAGAGGGAATTCAGCTCATCTACCATTACTTTTAGTAGTTAGTAGTTGATTTGTCATGTTATCCTGCCTGTGATGTATTTATTTAGTTAGTTAATGGAATCTAAAGCATCCTTGAAACATTCTTTATTGTCTCTCAGTGTCCGTCACTGAAGTCGGCTGTTTTTTCAGTATAAACTATAATACTCCGCACTGAATTGCTGCATTCCTCTGCAGTTTAACCCTGTATTACTGCACAGCGTATTGGAACGACCTCAAGCAGAGACTTCCCACATGGCCAGCAATGCTGACAGCCCTTCTGAAGAATGTCAAAAATATTTAAAAACTGTGTGGGGCAGCGCACCAAGGCTCTAAGCAATTAGTGTGGAATTATCACATTGCCCTGTTCACTATGTAGACTGATAATATTAGGTATTAAGAAATGCACCTCCTTCTCGTGGTATATCAACATAATAAAGTCACAGCCAGGCCGCGCTGATTGCCGGTGTGCAAGTCAAGCAGTACCGCTGTTTTGCATGTGTTCACAGCCATTTCCTGTGCTTCACCTTGACCATCAGCACTTACAGACACACGTGCAGTGTGTCAACAGGGCTCTGTACTGTGCACACCATTAGACAGATATCTGGGGCTTTTGCAATGGAAAATGACCTTTCCGTGTCAGAAACCTTCACAATGCAACACGGCAAGCACTGATGACTTCCTCACAGCAATAAAACATCATCCTGTCCAGCGCAGTAATTAAAGCTTTTATCCTGCAGCTACCAGACAATGTTAGACTGCTGGCAGGGGGAGCCTGCGGACAGACCAACCTTCACAGACCTGGTGGAGAAGCTAGGAGACCTGCTTCAGGCCAACGTGCAGCAGGTAAGGAGAGGAGCTCAGGTGTGCTCAGGGAACTCCATGTTCAACAGCTGTGCGCAGGCAAGGCCAATACTGAAAAAATGAGAATGTTTATGATTAGTGATTTTGCACAGAAAATGAAGACATCATCCAGCTGGGGGCTGCACATTGGTGGTGGAGGGGAGTCCCCATTACCTGTAAAGCGCTTTGAGTGGAGTGTCCAGAAAAGCGCTATACTGTATAACTGTAAAGAATTATTTATTATTATAATTATTAAGACTCACTTATCACATTTTTTCTACTTTTAATTTATTTTTTAGAAGTTTTTTTTTTTTACTAATCAGATATTGTCTTCACATAACGCTGCTTGTGGGTAGATCCATTTGCATTGACAACAGGCTCTTCATGCAGCAAAGACTCCCCAAAGAAATGAAATGATTCACTTTCTCTTGCACACAGGCCATGCTCACTCCCCGCCAGTCCCTTCTCAGGAACCAGAGAGGGACAGTGTGGTGCTCCTTGTACTGTACATTAAAGAGCCAAAAGACCTTCTTCCCACATCGTTTCTGGAGAAGGTTAATTGAGAGAAAAGCAGAACTGATCTCATAGACTCTCTAGAGAGGCTTTTCAGTTTTGAACAGATCTCAGCCATGGCTGAGATTACTGACTCGCATTAAACGTATACACCGTATGATCGTGCAAGATCACTTTCTTTGTAAATTAAAAAAGAAAAAAAATGTTTTGCAGAATAAACAGGAGACATTCTGGTTTTCATTTGTAAAGTGAACCAAGATAATGAAAGCAAAAGCATATTTATCATTCAACGTAATTCCTTAACATATTGATGGGTAAAAGAACTGATTGTTTTTTTTACAGAGA